CTGCATTAATGTCCTGAGCATTTTTCCATTTATTTTACTCCTGGTAATGCACAGTGCTGCGACTGGTTCTGCAGTTGTTACAATTAAAGGAGTGAAAGTCTTTGAGATGTTTTTTATTAGGGAGGGACTTTGTTGTGGTGTCTGTGTCTGGAAATAGCAGATGAGTTCAGACCACACAGTTAATGCTACCAATGTACAGTAGGAGGAGAAATAATGGATGTTGCCTTGTTTAATGGAGGCACCTGCAGACCAACTCTCTCCTCTGAATTGAGTTCATTGAGTCTCACAGAGGATGCAGGAAACCTGTGACCTGCTGAGTAGCCAGGTATTAAACTTGTATTTATGCCTCCTCCCCCTCCACAGCTCTGCTTCTCTCTGACCCTTTATGGTTTCCCAGGAAACACACCAGGATGAAGAAGCATGATAGGCTTTTATGCCACCACCTCTTGGTGAGAGTGTCTTCTCAAATGAATCTGTTCTTTATGCAGGACTTTTTTATATGCAGAAACTGACCTTTTCATCCAAGCATACATATATAGAAGGGTGATGTTACATTTTCTGTACTCACCACAAAAGACTGGATTCAAGCTGCCCCTGTAAGTCATACTTCCTTGTGTTGTATGCTTTGATTGTGTCAATTTACTGTCCAGTATTTAGGGGTCATGGCCATCTACCTCTTTAAACAGAGCTTTATAGATTCATACTGCAACCAGTATTTGAGGGTGGTTAGGAAATTCAACTCAAGAGCATTTCCTGAAGGGGGGGACCAAAGATGCCCTGAAATGCACCATTTAGCAAGAGAAGTGCAGCACAGGAGTTTATAAAGATGAAAGCTGATTTATACTTTTTTGAACCAAAATCATTGAAAGGTAATACCTTGATTGCTTTGCAGTGTTAGAAGGTCTGAATGTGATAAACATCTGTGAGAAACTCTCACACAGTGTTCACTGTTTTGATGATTATTTCTTCCTTTGCCTTTAAAACCACCAATAAGTCATGGCAGACATTTCACAAAGTCAAAACACTCCTCATGAGAGCTTTAACTTTGGGATGCATTATACTCCTTGTGGTGTCCTATCATTTTGGGAAACATTTCGATTCCTACCCATTGTAGCTCTAGTCTAAAGGGCATCCACTCAGTCACTGGTGCTCTGAGACCACGGCTGAGGCAAAGAGGCTGGGAGTGGGATCAGGCTAAAGTATCAAATGAATTATCAGCCTATGTTGCCTTTGAGGAAAGACATCAGAGCCAGCAGCGGGGACGAGCTCAGCTCCTTCTCAGAGCACAGGTGTCATGTGATGGGAAACCACAGTGAGCCCCGAGGGCAGCCTCGACTTTCTCCTATCTGACACACTCAGACCTAATTCCTCTTCTGCTTAACGAGCCTCTTGATCATCCTGCCAACATGTGCCACCGGATCAATTTGAGCAAGAGCACGGGTAACGTTTCTCCCTGCTGCAGATATTAGAGGCTGCTTATCAACAACAGGCAATAGAGCAAGACAGACACAGCTGACCTCTGTGGCCCCACTGTAATATGGTGGAGTCTAGTATGAAATGAGAGCTCGTTTCTGCAGGGGCTGTGAGGGATTATTGTCCTGGTGCTGAAGAGGGTGTTACAAGCCGCCCTGCTTTCATTCATGAACCATACAGCATGTGCAGGAGTTACAATTGGTCTTTTTTTTATCACCAGGTTTAAATTCTGAAGTGACAGGATAAAAACCCAGAGCAAGTATCAGTATGCTGGGATGTTTACAGGTGCAAAGGATTTGACTAAATTATTATAGATCAAGGAATGCAGACATTCACAGTGCATATGCAGAGGGCAAAGGGTCCCCTTGTACAGCAGTTGTGCTGTTATGTCTTAATAACAAGAATATTTGTAGCGCAGTTGTTACAATATCAGTGTCTACATACATTGAGCCTCTCTCATGAACATGGTTTTGTGAAGAAGTCTTCCTTTTGGCCTCACTGAATTACTGCTATGTTGTGCCTTTAGCATTTTAGCACAGAGGCCTTGAATACACTTACACTTAGCTGGAAGCCATCCTGCTGTCTAATGTTAATGGCCAGCCTTGACGCAAGTTTTGCTGTGAGCATGGCAGCACGACTCAGCAGATCAGCATTTAGATTATGTTCAACAAAACCAAGGTTAGCACCTCATTGAGCAGCCCTGTGATTTGTCAGAATATAGTGGAGGTCAGCAGGGGCTTCTGACACTTTGTTTGAACTTTAAACACAGAGAAATGCATTAAGTTTTCCCTCCCCTTTCACAGAGGGTTAGAAGTGGTCTCCAGAGACACCACTTTTGGCGCAGCATCCGAAAGACATTTCTTAATGAAGATTGATTCAGTCTCTCTGTATATCTGGTATTTTCTTTCACTTTACAAGGCTGAAATTGTGAATGTGTGCAGGTCTCCAGTATTTCTCATTTAGCTTAGAGACCTTCCTGTGTTTGTCTAGTCAATTCTTGTTTGCTGAGTTAATTAACATGAAGGAAGAAGGTAAGGATGGAGAAAGGCACAGGGATTAGTCCAGATCCATATTGCATTACAGAACAGAGAAGAGAGATATCTGCAGAACACCAACACTGAACAAACATACAGCACAAAATGAAATAATTATTCATTCATCTGCATTCATTAACAGCTTACTTCAGCACAATGGATCTGTCTGCCAGTGTCTTAGAATATGCATTTTCATATTTGCTGTCTTACTTTGCTGCTCTCTGCAACTATAGAGATATACATTATTATTCTTAATGGTCAAGTCTGCAGGATTTACTTAAAACAATAACCTGAAAATATATTTGAGTAAATGCCACGCAATCATCATCCATGAGCCTCCATAGAGAGTAGTGGTCCCTCTGTGCTCAGAGACCCTCTCCTCTGCCTATATTTTGAGGTACTGTGTGAGTCTCAGGGCTGGAGTTTGTGTTTGTCAGAAGTGTCATAATCGTGCTTCATAGTTACTAGTGCTGGGCGGTATGCAAAAAAAAAAAAAATGTTTGCAGTGTTTTTCAATTCTTTAATTTTTTTTGTGCTTCTATTTGTGCTTGCAGCTATTTTGCAAAATATGGCGGATCACAAAAAACAACACCCGAATCTCTCCTATTAAACTTAGCTATCTAAGAGGAGCCACATGAGTCATGAAAGCATTAGGTCTTATTTGCATTGTGACATCGCAAGCTCTATTATTCCCAGGGTGCATTTCACCCATGCATTCTCGTAATAGATTTAATGTTACAAATTGTTTCTTCTGCAAATACTTTGTTTCACGATTGGTTGTGTAGCACTGACTTTCTCACTAATAAATACAATGCAGTACAAATATTCCATCCATCCATCTTTAGAAATTTATCTGGAGTCAGGTCACAGGGACAGCAGCCTAATCAAGAAAGCCAAGAATTCCTAGCCACTTTGTCCAACTCTTCCCGGGGGGACCCTGAGGTGTTCCCAGGTCAGATGAGAGACATAGTCTCTCCAGCATGTCCTGGTTCTTCCCCTCTGTTTCCTACAGGTAGGAAATGCTCTGAACACCTCACCAACGATAATTTGAGATGTCTCTGTACAGTACAGTGTCGTTCAGAGCGATTTTTAGTTTTAATAAAGACAGTATGCCTGCTGCTTTACTGCTTCAGCACCTGCACTTATAATGAGCAAAGTCACACAATTATTATAAAATGTATCCTCAAAAGTAGTCATTTGCATTATTATTACCTTTGGTAAATACCAAGTATGGTATATTCAGTGACCCGTCTAGTTCATTTGAACCAAAGAAAGTAAGCATCTTAAGTGGACACATGGCGTTTTAAAGTAGAAAGAAAAGGAAAACTAAAAACTGACCTGAGGACTTGAAATGAACTGGTAAGACATCCAAATATAAAATCAGACCAATGTAACCAAATTTGACCTCTTCAAAAGTTTAGGCAGTATCATACACGTCTGTACTTTGAAACTCCAGCTCATTATCAGTTTCAGTAAATTGTCGGTAAAATTTCTCTCAGAATTAAACTTCATGTGTAAAATGTTTCAAGTCATCTCATTTCTGCAAGCCTATATATCTTTGTCCCATGTAGATCTGATATATATATTATCTATATACTGTATATATTACATATTGAGCGATTTGAATTTTTAAATAAATGTCTGAAGATTAATAATCTCAAATTATGACATTTATGCACTTGTTGAAAGGGGCACCATCCACCCTAAATGGTGGGAAAATAAAGAAGAACAAAAGTTTAATTCAGAAATCAAACATTCAGTCAATCTTAAATGAATCAATCTCATATCTTAAGCCAAAATTCTCATTTCAGGGACTCCACTTCTGGAAGAACACTAACAGACAGGAACTTAGAAAAATAATTATCTGTTTATTACAGGATAAATGATGGTACAACGTCCATGCAATAAGTGATGATAAGATAATGAGGATAAATAATAATAGGTGAATAATAAAAGATTCTGAGTCAGGCTAGGAGCATTAAAGTTAAAGATAGTGAGTAAATATGCTCCAACATATTAACCTACAATAACTTTGGTGTCAAGATAAATTTGGATGTGGGTTTGGATGAACCTAGGATTACCAGAATAGGTGAATATCTGAGTTATGACCGCATGGGACACCATCAGCCCTGTTTGGAGCTCTGGAGGTTTGCATACTTTCACTTTCACTTTACTTCATTGTCACTTAGATGCACTGGGTACATACATGTGAAATACTTCCTGCTTGGTAGCTCCATAGAGACTAAAAAGCCTACACATATCTAAGAGAATGGCAATGAAAAACAGGCAAACAGGCAGCAATAAAACAGGCTGTAAGGAAAATGCAATAGTGCAAAGTGCAGTGTGTTATTGCACATTTAGATATTGCCCATCATTTCTACTGTCAACATTCATTTAGCAGTCTAATGGCCCGCATGAGCACCCAGCCTGCTTTTTTGTAACCTTTCACCTTTTTGGACCTCAGGGGAATGAATAGTCTTTTGTGGGGGTGGCTGGGGTCCTCCATTATCCTCTGGGCTTTGCTGAGGCAGTGCTGGCTGTAGAGGTCCTCCAGACTGGGCACCTCACACCCAGTGATGTTACTGGCAGTTTGGACCACCCTCCCTAGTGCCTTACAGTTTCTGTCCGTACAGCTGCCATACCAGGCTGTGAAGCTGAAGGTCAGGAGGCTCTCTATGGTGCCTCTGTTGAAGTCCCTGATGGTGTTGGGTCTAAGGCCTAACTGTTTTAGGCGCCTGAGTCTGTATAGGCGCTGTTGGGCCTTTATTACCACTGCTGTGGTGTGGCAATCCCATGAGAGGTCTGCAGAGATGTTGACTCCCAGATATTTGAATGTGTCCACCCTCTCCACCGCTGTACCATTGATGGTAATCGGCTGCAGCTCGTCCTCCTTCTTCCTCCTGGGGTCGACCACGATCTCCTTGGTCTTGTTGGCGTTCAGGGAGAGGTTGTCACTTGTGCATCGCTGCACCATGTTGGCCTGCTCCTCCCTGTAGGCTGACTCATGGCCGCCGGAGACCAGGCCCACCACTACTGTGTCATCAGCAAACGTCACGACGTGGTTTGATGGTTGTGTCACCACGCAGTCGTAGGTGTACAACGAGTACAGGAGAGGGCTGAGGACACAGCCCTGTGGCGCTCCTATGCTGACACACAGAATGGATGATGTCTGGTCAGCCACTCTCACTGGCCCTCATTTATCAATCTTGCGCAGATCTGAGCGCAGGATTCATCGTACGATAGGACACACATGAGATTTATGAGAGGGTTCATATCTGACCAATCCCAGTGTACGTATGATCGGGTCTTGATAAATGCTGCAGCTGAAATTGATCGTCATTAACATGTTTATGCCCTTAAATATTCGTGGTTCAGAAGCCTTGCCCACTGAGGTCAAACATGAAAGAGGAGAAATACTAGAAAGATGTGAAACTTTTCCAAGCTGAAAGTGGATATCCTCACATCTGTGGTGGAAACTAACAAGGATTTTCTCTTTGGAAATATCAAAACTGGTATAAAAGCAGTCCAGAAAACTCTTGCCTAGAGCAGGATTATGGTGGCGGTGAACAGCGCTGCTGCGGAATGGCGGACAGTGGCTGAAGTTTGAATAAATCATTAGTCAGTAAGTTGCTCATGATGATAAAACAATATCTCATACATACCTCATATTTGTTTATTGCCATGACATAGGGTACGTTGCTCCTATTGTTGAAAGTATTTAGTTTCAATTTGTTGCATCTTCGTAATGTAGAGCAGACTGGAGAGTCTGACAGAGGCTGAACAAAATCAATTATTAACCTCACCAAACGGTGTGTTGCTGCCCCTGAGGCAAATTTTTATGGATTTCTATATGATTTTTATCACTGAATAAATAGCGAGAGCACTTTCTTAACTTTACATGTCAGAATCCATCGATAAGGTCCTGTCTCCTATACAGCACCTTTGTGGAGTCTCTCCTCGTTATTGTTCTCCGGGCATCGGGTCCTCAGGATGCACCAGCACAGCCAATGGCACTCCGTTCGCCAGTGCAACATTGTGCAAAACTGTACTGGCCCAAATAATGTCCCACACCCTTTCAGTGTACAACAACGTCCCCGCTGCTGGGCCAAGACAGAGCTACCTGCCTTTTAGGAGTCAAACGCAGCGTGTGCGTGTGTGCGTAATGTTGAAACTGTGCTCCTGCTCTGTGGCAGTGTTTTTGGACAGAGTTATCAAATAGGCCTTTTCACTGAGGACATAACAAATTTATTTTATTTTATTTTTCTTCTTAATCTTAATGAAATCTGGCTGATTGTGCTTAATGACAGGTTTTAGGTTTGTATATCAATTATTTTGAGACAGATATTTGCTGCACCGCAGATCCACACCGACTCAAACTTGCGTACACAATGTCAGACCTGTTGTGAGATATGGTCATAGTGTACGCTCACGTGCAGATTGATAAATGCCGATCCTCACATCAAAATTGTCATACGCAAGGTGTAGGCAAGTTTTCTGCCGTACACTAGCTTGATAAATGAGGGCTACTGTCTGGGGGCAGTTCTTCAGGAAGCTTAGGATCCATCTGTGCAGGGACGGCCTCATGCCTAGGTCTCGGAGCTTGCCATCGAGCCTGGACAGTAAGATGGTATTAAAAGCGGAGCTGTAGTCCACAAACAGCATCCTGACATAGGTACCGCTGCATTTCAGGTGGGAAAGGGCCGTGTGAAGGACATGGGTGATGGCATCCTCTATGCTCCTGTTTGCTCGGTAGGTAAACTGTATGGGGTCGAGGGTGGGAGGGCGCATGGGGCATATGAGACCTTTGACCAGGCTCTCAAAACACTTGCTGGCTATGGGAGTGAGGGCTATGGGGTGCCAGTCTTTTAGGCTGGTCACCCTCTGCTGCTTGGGAATAGGGATGATGGTGCTGGTTTTGAAACCGTTGGGGACAGAGCTGAGGGAGAGAGACTGGTTGAAAATGTCAGTGAATACTCCCACCAGCTGGTAAGCACAAGCCTTTAAGACCCGTCCAGGAATGCCATCTGGGCCAGCCGCTTTCCTGGTGTTGATCCGCTTGAAGGAGTGGTAGACCTCGCCCCTTTGGATGGTGAGCAGGCGGTCATCATCAGCACCAGAGATGGAGAGTGGGCTTGGGGATATTCCAGGAGTGGGGGTCAGCTGCTCCCCCCTCCCTATGTCAATAGGGAGGGGGTAGCAGAGGTGAGCGCTCGCCGGTGGAGGGGGAGGGACCAGCCATGCCAGGGGGTCTAGCAGAGGGGGTCAAATCGGGCAGAGAAGGAGTTGAAGTCATCTGGAAAGGAGTGTGATGTGTGTTGGGTTTGCTGTGTGCTCCCCTTGTAGTCTGTTATGGCTTGAAGCCCCTGCCAAAGGTGCCTCGGGTTGTTTGTGTTGAGTCTTGACTCCATGCGTTGACCGTAGTCTTTCTTTGCCTTTTTGTTGGCCACGCTGAGTGCATAGCGGGCTTTGTTATAGTCCTCCGCTGTGCCTGATTTATAGGCTACATTTCGTGTGTGGACAGCAGCATGCACTTTGTTGTTGATCCATGGCTTCTGGTTTGGCATCACCTTTATATTCCTGACTGGAACAGCAGCCTCTGTGCACTCCCTGATGTAGGTTGTTAAATTGTTGGTGTAGTTGTCTAGATTCCCAGTCGACTTGAACGCCTCCTAGTCCGTGCAGGCAAACCAGTCCTGTAAGATTGCCTCTGATTAGGAGGATTGAGCAGTGGCCTGATTTGCCAAAAGCTGGGTGGGGGAGGGCTCTATAACTTTCCCGGAAGAGGGTGTAACAGTGGTCCAGTGTGTTATTTCCTTGCGTCTTAAAAGTGATATGTTGGTGTAATTGAGGCATTAGTTTGGTGTGGTTCACGTGGTTAAAATCCCTGGCTATGACCAGCGCCGTGTACGGCTGTGCCGTTTCTTGCTTGCTGATCAATCTGTGGAGTTCCTTGAGCGCTGCCTCCTTGTTTGTCTGCGGTGGATTGTAAACAGCGGCTATCGTGACAGATGTAAATTCACAGGGGAGCCATACAGGAAGACACTGCAGCAGGAGACACTCCAGATTTGGGGAACACACTGTGTTAACAGTTGAGATGTTACGCTCATGACACCAGGCCCGGTTCACCATGAGACACACACCTCCACCCGCTTTCTTCCTTGAGAGCTCCATGTCCCGATCCGTGCGATGGACAGAAAAGCCCATGGGCGCGATGGCATGGCTCGGTGTGTCGGTGGAGAGCCATGTCTCAATGAGACACAGCACATTGCATCTCCTGATGTCTGGCTGGAAGAAGACCCGCGCCCGTAGCTCACAAAGTTTGTTCTCCAGGGACTGTACGTTCGCCAGCAACAGGCTGGGGAGTGAGGCTCTGTGAGCACACCGCCTTAGCCAGTCCAGTGTCCCGGCTCGTCTGCCTCTCCTTCTCAGTTGGGTCCTCGTCCTCCTCAGTTCGGGGAACAGGGAGAGGGGATCTGGGCACAATCGGTGAGTCTGACATGCCGCTCTGATGTTAAGAGACGTTTGTTTGCTGTAGGCAATCCGTATGGCGCAAGGTGTGCAACCAGTTTTAGTGCCGTTAGTGCTGTTTGTAGGTGCTATCCTACTGCACCCTACTGCCAATCTGGATACAAAATTCACTCCTAACACTAGTAACTAAAAAAACTAGTAACGAAACCAACTAAAAACTAAGCTAAACTGTTATAACTGTCTGCTACTTAAACCTCAGAGCACAGACTGACAGCACAGTTTTGCTAGCTAGCTAGTTTGCGGAGCTCCAGCACGTCGCCCTCCTCACGGCGCTGCTACGTAAGTGAGACTGGTCCTTGGAGAAGATGGAGCAGGTACTGAAGGCCCGGGGCTACCGGCTGTTCGAGAGGTTTGGCTTGGAAGACGACCGAAGTCAGCCGAAGGAGATGGGCCAGGAGTTGCAGTACTTGGGCCCGAAGCAAAAGCCAGCGCTGTGGGTCCTTTGGATGCTCGTTTGTCTTAATCAAAAACGTAGGCTCACATGATGACTTTGGGCCTGCTGGGTGGCATTCAGAGGTGACTTTGAAATCACGCAGATGACCCAGAAAAAGAGGCTCGATGGCCAGTCGAAACTATTTCAAAAATGGCTTCCCGAAATTAAAGAAAAATCAATTAAAGGCTTAATCTTAAATTGCTATGCGCACAAAAATTTGAAGTTTCAAAATTTGAACTAAGACAGTGTTAAAGAAAAAGCAACGTGAATGAACACGTGGCGTAAAACTTAGAAGACTAAGAAAAAGTAAGACTAAGGGCTATATTTTCGTGCCTCGCCGGAGACATGCCCCAGGCACGGCGTAAGTCAGGTCTGCCGCGCCGACAAGGCATTCCCAAGCACAATTTGGTATTTTGGTGAGCGGGGCAGCCCAGCGTAAGTATCCCCCCTCCCTAACTCAGCTCCTCCTAGCGGCGTAAGTCGTAGCGAGGGAGGAGAGAGGGTGTGGCGTGGATTTAACACAGCCAAGACCTGTATTGACCAATAACATCAGCTCCTCTCCTCGCCTTTAAATCCACCACCGGCGAGGCGTATTACTATTTTCGTGAAGTAGTCAAAGAGATCAAGAGATGTCTGAAGACAGTAATGCCACACATAGGGGACAGAAGGCAGCTCCTCAACAAGTGTCACTGCAGAGGGCGTCCTTCACACTCTCTCATATAAGCACAGATGGATTTGGTGTGTGTGATGTTGGACCCACTAGTAAGACAAACACCCTTTCCACAAATAAAGACACTCACATAAAGTTGCACATATTTAAACCTCACATGACAAAGGTGGGTTGTGCGCAGAGATCACAATATAAATTCCAAAAATGGCTTTAAAATCGGAACCATCTGTGCGTAATGACGCATCGCGCTCTGTGGCCTGGCTCTTTCTTTCATCGATGTTGGCATATAAAATAAATTTGGCTCACAAAACTGAATATTAAACTATTCGTATGTAGGCTTAAAGTAAATAACTCATCTGATCACTGAAACAAATCATCTGTTCAGCCGCCGCAGCAGCAGTTGCAGCAGGACGGGGAGAGGACACAGACACATGTCTAGGTCAAGATGTGCGAGAAATAACAGGAAGAGGAAGAAAGAAAAGGAGGGAGACGAATTACATATCTTGTTAACTTCATCATGTGTGTCTATTTACTAGATATTTAATTAAATTAAATTTAATGCGGTTTCAGCTGTGTTGATTCGGTCAGGTTGTGTGTCCAAACGCGTGCCAAACGGGCTCATCAGATCAGATATAGATCAGAATATATCTATATAGATCTAAATGTATGTGCTGACTCAGATCATTAGTTGTTGATTATTTTTTGCACAGAAATGTGCCTGACACTGGAAACCTGCCGGTGAGGCATCGGTGACTTATGCTGATACGCCGCCGGTCTACCAAAATATCACTAGACCAGCTGCGCTCCACCTGTGCTGAAAGCTGACCAGGTTTGAATCGGCGAGCTTTCAGCGCACTTTATACGGGCAGCTGATTCTTTCGACACCTCCCTCTGCCATGCCACCACGCCCAGCTTGGCGGATCTCGGTGCGCCTCAGTCTACGAAAATACCAAATTGGCTGTACGCCGGGCTTCGCTGGACGAAAATACAACTGTGCGGGTTCCGCCACCCTCTGCGAACACGAAAATAGAGCCCTAAGTAGTAAGAGCTAAGAGAAAACAAAGAAGATCATGAGCAGAAGAGAGTGAAGAGGACGAGAGATAGTAAGACATAAGAGCAACGGTTTTATCTTCTCACACTGGGAGTGTCTCTGGTGTGTGTGTGTGAGGAGAAAGAGGAGGGGTCGTAGGGTCTCCATCTGCTGAGGAGACCTCGGATCTCTGATGATTTGATCTAACTTAGACTTTTGGCTGGTAAAAGAGTCAGATCTGATACTCACTCACTATAATTAATATCATTGAATGCATGGTTTCATGATAAATAATTTGATATTAAACACATATGAATGAAATGTAGGATCACATCAAACATTCTCATTCTGTTTTAAGTATCACACTGAACATGCTAAATTACTCTGAAATGAATCAGATAGTAACACATTGAAACTGTGAATAACAAAAGAGTAAACACATGTGAATAAACTTCATCATGATTAATAATGGATTCTAAATACTCACATTCCGATTATTCAATGACATTATAACCACCTAATGGTTAAAAATACTAAATAAACGATAAGAATATAAACCAAACATTTCTAAACTATTTCTGTTACTTAGAGTAAAGTCATGATTCATACTCCATATATTTAACTCTTAATAGTTCATGAAACAGTATGAAAAGCTGTTAGTCTAAAGAAACTAAAGAATAAAGGATTTATTCTGTCAGAGTGATAACTTGGCTTCTGGGGCACATAGAAAAATGGTAAACATCTCATTTTAACACAAATTTCATGATTAGACAGATTAGTACATTGCTGGATGCACAAGATGTCATGATCAGTCATTTGTATTCTTTCACCAAAGGTATGCAGTTTTTATTAGAACATGGTTGAGCAGGGTTTTACGACTGAGGTCTGGAGGTCTGTGTCCTGTTCCTCAGACTTTATCTTGGGGTCTGTATGTTCACACACTTTAAGACAGTAAATCTCAAATGGGAGACCTGGATTGAGGCATTAATGTTTATTTAGATGGTCAGTGATGGAGTCAGTTTGAAAGTCTGTCTCTGTTCTCTGAATTGACCAATCGTGAAGAGCCAGAGGTTTAGGTCAACCTCCGATCGGGTCAGTTAGGTAACCTGAAAGTGCAAACAAGTCTGGAAAGATTTATATCCTGTGTCCTGGGACCAAATAAGGAAACTTTCCTGCGAAGAATGTGTGGGTTTCACCCACAGGGTTGTCTTGATTGCTAATATATATATATATATATATATATATATATAATTATGTATATATGTATACATGTACATCCCAAGAGAACATCACACCTTCACACCCAAGTTTTTATATTTGACGAACCCTCATTAGCTCTGCCTTGTTTCTCAGATGAATGTCCCTTTTACTGCTTCTAGCTCTTTCACCTCAATATCTGAAAGGACTTTTTCTTTGGAAAACTGCTACAATCTGCTCTTAATAACTGAGTATTTGAATGTGTCCTTTCTCTTTTCCCTCTCAAGTGTTAGATCCCTTTGTATTACAGCTCGCTTCAGTTCTCAGGCTCTTAGTAACAGAAATGACTGGAGAGAAAGAAGGGGCTAACTACCGCTGACATGCACCTTTTTTTTTTTCCAAAAATCACCAACCAGCTCTGAAGTACGTGGTCAGTTCACAGATTACCAAGAGAGAAAAAGAAAGAATACAACTCACTCCGTTTTAGACATTTATCCCCCTGAGAGGACTCACAGCTGTGTCCTAGTGCCAAATGTTGGAAGCACTGAAACAGATTTACACTCAACTTATCCTACAACAAGGAATACAAGCATAACAAATTCAAGCTCAAATCAAAGTTATGATAACCTCAAGGTTTGAAGATGTGAAACTATTGACAATCATTGTTTAATTGTTCCTTGGATTACTAGGAGTAGGAATACCGGCATTGAGTTAAAACAACATATTAGACAAGCAGTTAGCTGATGCCAGAGCAACATCATTGAGACTCTGATCTCTTCAGTCATCTGCTTTTCTTTTTAGGTGGTAATAGATCTTCTAATGCATGTATAACACAGTTGAAAATCAGTGCTTTTTTTATTTTGGGCTATAAGGGCCTGAACATTTTGTCTTTATTTCCCATTAAACCACTTATAAAAAATAAAATCAGGTTACATTTTCTATGACAATGAAAAAAACAGCTTAACAGTTAATACTTTTGCCATTCAAAACCTCTCTGAAATGCCAATCAGTCCAATGAAAAGTTTAGAAATTCAAGTTAAACCTAAATAAATAATCTATGTATCATTTCGGGCTGTCAAAGCATCAGAATTTTCAATCAGATTAATCACAGGGTTGCTGTGAAATTATTTCAATTCATCATGATTGAATTTGAATTGCATTAATCTATATTTATCGTGTTTCATTTTCCATTAGCAAAGAGATTCAAGAAAGAAGGAAATATGTATGCACTTAACATGTTAATTAAACACCCATGTTTCACATGAATGTGATATTTTAAGCTGAAAGTGCTTTGGTGAAAGGAAACTCCTTCCTGCAGAGTGTGCATAACACTTAATGTCCATCATGGGTTTTTTGTACTCAAATGTCCCTTGGAGAAGGCCAACGTGCTGTTTAGCATTTTATTTGTTGACAAGGCTTAAGACTGCAACTAAAATCGCATATGAGACCTTTATTTTATCTGGTCGTGTTTGTGCAAGTGCGCATGTTGTAATGCTCACTCTAACACAGGCTCTGTATAAGACATTGTGGTTGCAAGTTGCCCTTCTTTCACTGACTTAGCCAGTCTCATCCACCTGCACTCTCTCCTGCTCTGAGAATAGAACACCATCACAAACATGCGCACAGCAAATGTGCATCACATCACAAATGTGTTGCCGAAAATGTTTCAGGAAATTTAAGTCATTTTGCACTGCAGAAGAGTTAATTGCATTAAAAATTTTCATCAGCTGATGGATTAATCTGTGTCACTGCGTTAATTTTGACAGCCATATATTATTTAGTTTTAAATTAAACAACAACAATAATAACAACAACAACAACAACAACAACAACAATAATAATAATAATAATAATAATAATAATAATAATAATAATAATAATAATAATAATAATAATAATAATAATAATAATAATTGTTGTAATATTAGAGTACAGTTTGGTTTCTTTATGTACTTGGATCCAAAAGCTTGTAAACGTAGTTGTTTATGAAGTCATAATGTAAAGCTCCTGTGTGTTTTCTCACAATTTAATAACTAAAGAAACTTGCTTTTTTATACTAATCATTATGGAAATTTGCTGGGGGGGGGGGTTTATATTTGACTGGTGTTGGCACTTCCCTCGTCTGACACCAAATATTAACACTATAGAAATGGCTGATGTTGTTGCTAATGAGCTGGTTTGTACTTGTCGGTCATAACGAGTCACTGTTGTTTATTTGAGTTTAAAAACTTTTCACAAGACCTTAGAGGTGTGTATTTCAGATGTTTATTCACTATTCTGAGCTCTGCAGTACCAAAGACAGCAAAACAAAGATGAAAATTAGCACTAAAGTAAAGCATGTGTATGAATTAATTGAATTATTAATAATGCTCTGAGAGAGAGGAGGAACCATCTTTGCTCTGATGTTTGTTCATTGTAGATGTTTGATCCGAAGTCTTTGGGGACTGTGCTCTCTGTATGCTGAATACTGTGGACTAATTTTACAGACTAATTAAGGTATTTGTGTGTTTGTTTACTGTCTTATAGGAACATATTTCTACTTTGAGTCTGATCTGGTACAAAGTACGGCTTGTTAAAACATATTAGCGTAAATTGAAGAGCAGCTCTAATTGTTTGCGGCACTGCTGATGTAGCGCAGCAGTAATTATGTTTGGTTTAACTTTGGCAGCACTCTGCTCTTTAAAAGCTCTCTGAAGAGAATGATTGTGTCTGCATTGTTGCATTTCTGCTGATAATCAGACACCATGAGGCCTCAACTTCATTTTTGTGCTTTTGCTTTCAACCTTTTGAACTCAAAACTAAACTTTAAAACACCAACACAAAGAAAAATCCAATTATTTTGTCACACGCAGAAGTGCTTTATTTGGATGAAACAGCCATTAACGGCATTATGAATAATATCTGGTGTTTTCTCTGTGAACAAACAGATGACATGACACGTATCTCTGACTCTAAAAAGCTTTGTTTCTACATGCTGCTCATTTTCAAATGATTTGGCACACTAAACCTGAAGACACTCTGTTATCGATCTGTGGAAGGACCCAATGATCTGAAACATGTGGCAGCAGGTGGATACACTGAAAATCACTTACAGCGCAAGCATCACTTTTCAACAACCACCTCTTTAGAAAAGCTAAGGAGAACAGGTCTGACTTCAGAGGCCAGCTCCTCTTTCAGATAGAAAGAAGAGTTCTTACAAGAGGCACAAATCTGGGAGTAAAATGTAGAAAGTTAAGGATTGGAAAAAAATACACCCTTCCACATTTAATGATAGAGGGAGAATGGAGTCTGAGCTGCCCTCCCTTTTCATAGAGTGATCTGAAGACCATTAAGAGGCTGCAGAAGAGAGGAGCAGCAGTTGCTATAGCATGAACTGT